TCAAATAATAGGGCTCATATGATCTCTACTTCCCTGAATTCCCCAGGCCAGTTCCCTCTTCAGTAATATCCCATAGGAAAGCTATCTCTTCCACTGCATGATGAGCTAGTCAGGTAAGTACCTGGAATTTTTACCCTATAATTATATTCAACAGTACAGTGCTGGAAATAAGAAAACAATGAAGGAAATAATTTCTAGAAAGAATGAATGATTTTCTCCAATGTGAGAACTAAAAATTCAGAACAAGCTGAGTCTTACCACAATTCCCAGAGATACCACCGAGGCTTCTTAAATTTAGGGGCAAGAAAAACACACTCCCATCTGGGGGAAGACAGCAGAGACTGATGAGTGTCAGGGAGGCAGGAGCCACGTGGCTGCCACCCCACCAGGCACCACAGCTGTGTTCACCAACTGAACTGACCAGGCACTGACCAGGCAGAGGCAGAGGGGGACCAGATATCTGCCTGGTCAGGAAGAGGTCAGGAGGAGCTCTGCCTACTCCACCGCTTTGATGCTTCCGTCTTCAAGGCGAGACCTGATGTCCAAACCCTTTTACAGACAGCAGGGCTAGTCCTCCTGTGGACTGCTTCTGAAAGAACTGTCTTCAAACAATTGATAAGAGAGGGAGGAGGTGATGACACCCTACTTTCTGTTTCCAGTTTCTTCAGGAATGAGAACAATGCTCAGATTTGAAAAGCAAGGCATAATAAATGGTGAACAAAAGCTCCTGATAGAAGAGTTGATAGAAAGAGCCTATCAAGCCACTTCAAATAAGTTCAAGTGTCCAGTTGCAAACTAATTACATCCTGGAAAAGCATGTAGATTGCTTCTGCTAATAACATTTAGGAAAGCACAGAGCATAGAAATGGCATCAGAAGACTAGAGATAAGCAAATGTCCCAATTTCAATATGAGAAACAAAACTTGAGACTGTTATGCTTGATACTGGCCCTCTGTAAAAGTTTAGAAGAAATTATTCAGATGCCACAGGGCTATTTAGAAAAGATAAATAACATCATTAAGTGCCAGCAGGAGGTGTTTTAGAGAACGCCGTGGCAAGCTAACCTCATTTCACTTTTTCCTCAGGGTTTCTAGGTTGATAGATTGGAAAGGCTATAGCCATGGTGTATCATGGTTTTAGCCTTTCTTGATAACGCTGAGAAAAGGTAAATAGGGGTGACGTGAGAGCATGGCTATATGAGTTCATTGATGGGTAAGCAACCTTAAGGATTACTGGTTAATATATTCACATCAACCTGAAGTGGTTTTCAGAGGTATGTCACAGAGACCTGTCCTTTGCCTTATGTAAGCTTCTAAGCAATAGCTTATATCAAATCTTTGGATGACAAAAACTTAGATATGTGAACATTAATTTTTAAAAAGATAAAAATTTAGAGGTACAGCAACATGCAAGGATGATCAGACGAAAAGTAATAAGGCTGGCACTACACAGGGATACAAATACAATCAGCAGGTATAGGCTCAAAAAAATTATGCTCAATTGAAAGCTAACCTTGGCAGCATTCATGTGAGATCAGATGTGTATGTGTGTTTTGGGGTGGGAGTGAGGTTTATTTCAACAAGTCACACATTCGATGAGTTAACTCTGTGTCAAGGTTGCTGGAAAAAGTAAACACGCTCTTGAGTTGTTAAAAGAATTCTGGTGTCCACAATAAGGAAGCTAACCACCCCACAATTAGCTATCAGAATACCCCATTGAAGTTCTGGGCCCCATGTTTTAAATGGGACACTAGGAGAGTGGAATGTGGCCAATGTCTAGGCATCAGTCAGAGAGCAAAGTGAAGTGTTCCAACCAGAAGAATGTCCTGAGGTAGACATGCTTGTTGATACATTTTAAAGTATATTTCTCAGAATGACAGCACATTTGTTCTCCGAGGTTCCAAGTAGAACAAATAGCTGTCAGAGGGCTGCATCCCTTTTAAGGTAGGAAACGGCTGTGTGTTTAGAACTGTCCTTCAGTGTCAAGAACTGCTCTGAAGCAGGCAGTTCACACCGGGTGTCCACGTGGAGATGAATGACCACATGCCACAGGTAGTGCAGGGGGACTTATCTGTGTTGTGGGAAGTTGGACCAGGCAGAGCTAAACAGCCCTTCCAACTTTAAGAATGTCTCTAGGAATCTCTCTCTCTTCTTTATTCAAGTAACTACACACTCTGTCTCTAGAGTTGGAATAGCTCCATGGACTCTACTCTTCACCATCTTACTCTACATCTTATCCCAGAGGCAATTTTCAAGGGTACAAATGCAAATAGGATGAATCCCTTCTCAAAGAACAGTCTTAGGTTAAACATTACATAAACTGAGAATATGATTTTTTTAAAGCTTCTAAATAAGCAGAAAACAAAGCACGCCTAACAAGTCAAAACAAAGCCTTCTAATATTACTTGATACAAAGTTTTTTCTATTTGTGGAAATAAAATGATGGGGGCCAGTAGCAGCAGACCAGTACTACCTCTGAATAGCAGTTAGTTACTGCAGAAGGATTTTACATTTATGAATCACACAATATCTGGCTCTTCGGAGACAGATTTTTTAAAGTACCCTCCTTTTAAAAAAACAAGTCGTATCACTGACTAAAAAGCAATAAATACACACATAAATGATCTTAGTTCTTTATGAAAATATCTATACACATCTTCCCCAGCATCATGCATGAACTTTTAAACAACTGTCTCATGAGAGCTGATTTATTCTTCTTATATATTAGTTAAATATAAATGGTGGTTCTTATTTAATATGCTGCTAATCTACATGACTGTCAAAGCCCTAACATTTGACCAAAGTGATGGGAGGCAGGTTAGCAGAGGTGGTATTTCTTTCACAGGTAGGTTGAGTTACTATTTTGACTTTAGTGGTGCAAAAATCTCAACACAGTGAAATGTACATCTCCCAGCCGCAATTTCTAAAACCAACCAAAAATATGATACTGTATCTAATTAAGGCTCTCCTAATTTGAGTGCCTCCTACTTGAGTACCAAGTTAAAGAGAAATACAAAATATAAATAGTTAGTGCTTTTTCTAGAGGATTACCAACATGAAATGTATATGAAACATTCAGTGGTGGGAAATTTAGAACATACTCCCCAGAAAGCATCTAAATGTGGGAGCTAATAGAATGTGTCTTACCAGGACACTTTTTAAGGAATATTAAGTAAAGTAAGTAAATAAAACATGGAAAAGTGAAAAAGAAGAAACGACTCAATATCCGCATGCTGAAATATTTAAATATCCTTTACTTGCAGTACAATTAAAGACATACTCAATAACCAGTCACACTGAAACTGTGTTTTCTGTTTCTAGAAATAAAACCATGGAAACCAGCATCAGCAAGGACACTTTCTTTCTGGTGCTCTGAGATCCCTTCACCTGCCTGATTAGCCTCAAAGTCTGAAAGGCTGATTATTAATAATCAAACTGTTCAAAGAACCTGATTTATATTAACCCCTTGATGACCCATAAGGACTCTAGATGCAGACAAAGTAATGACTCCCATTTTTTTGGATGAGGAAACTGAGGTACAGAAAGATTAAGTAAATTACTCAACTGTCCCATAGCTAGTGAATGCCAGAGTCAAAAGCAGGTGGTTAAATCAGGACAAGAGTCTGTACTCTAAACCACTGTGCAATGCTCAGCTGAGGTTTAAGGCATAAAGCCTCCTACGACTCTGTATTTTTGGATGGTTTCTAGGAAAGTGGTCAGCCCATAGCCACGCACACCAGGAAGTCATAAACTCAAAGGCTATGGAGCTAGCAGGTAATACCAATGAACGAAGTGGGCCAGGTGTAAAAGGCATGATGGTAAATGGTGACTCATTCCATGGTGAAGAGATGATAGGGAGTGATGGGGATTGCAGCAACCTAGATACAGCATGATGCTGCCAGTGAAAGGCGGCCACTTCCTCATGCCTTCTGACTACCACCTTAGGGAGAGCTGGGCAAAGCGCTGCCAGAGTTTCAGGTTTTTCAAAAGGATGGGGGATGGGAGGGCCTGTTTGCAAAAAAATCTCTCCAAGTTCATGTATTTGCTGCCCCTACCCCTACCCCTCAAAAAAAACAACATAAAACCAAATAAATCTGTTGGTTGTAGTCCACCTGTTGACTTCTTTTATCTCCCTAAGGAAAGACACAGACATCGCCTTAGAATAAAAGGCCTAGCTTCCAAACCTCCAAGGGTTTTCCTGGCCTTTCTCATTGTTACTACAGCCCTCGACACACTCAGCAAGTAACGAATAAAATGGCTGTCACATGTCACAGCACATCTGGTCGGAAAAACACATGTTACACTCTCCTGAGACAAAGGCAAAAAAGTTTGATGTATATGCAGAGTGATGCTCTCTACTTAGTACTATTTTGCTTTAAACCAGGGACTGAGAAAATCAGGCATAATAATCCAAGCTGGCTTCTAGAATACCATCCCTTTCTATGGCAAATATACAAGGGGAGCTAGGGGGTGAATAGAAACGTGAGAGTTACTGATTCATGGTTTACAAGGAATTTTTCATGTTCACTCTAGACAAAGAATGAACTTGTGGTCAAAATCTCCTTCCTGAATTGCTGTCGTTCCCCTTCATTAATGAACAGCTGGTCCAAACCCAAGAGAATGGGGTTGCCCTTTGTAGCCACTTCAGAAGCTATCAAGGGGATGCACTTACTTATTTATTTATTTTGAAAAAAGGAAAACAGTAAGCACAAAATCTGAGAGACCTCGTGGGCAAAACGGAGCAAGAAATTCTGGCCTTTTCACAAACATCTCCACCTACTCCTCTTTCCCCCTTACAGATAAAGAAGACTTAAAAGCAAAACCCCACAATGGAAAGTTTCTTGCTTTTTATACTACATAATCTTTCTAATTATTTTTCCCTTCCTGCTATGATGTATTCAGCAAGGCCATAATGAAAAACTAAAAACACAACTTAGTTATTCAGGTTAAACACTTACAGGTGTACAGAACAATACTAGTTAATGTCAAACATTTCTGGTAACTGCTTCTCAGCCATTTGGCTGAGATCAAGTGTAATACCTGTTGTTACAAGCTAATATCTAATTCCTCCTCTAACAAGGACAGTATGCTAAACGGATTTTGGAAGCAGGGAGCTAAAACAGGAGCTTGCTCTGTCCACGCCACACACCGACCTGGTACTGCAGTACCTCCAGGAATGACACACCCCCTTTAGAAAAAAATTTTTTAATTGGTAATTAAAAACTGATTAATACTACTATGCAACTGAGAGAGTGAACATGTCTGTTTCCTGTCAATTTTTCAACTAAAACGAGAAGCCAACTTCAAACGAAAACATCACCACATGATAATCAAGTGGAAACCAAGTCAACTAGCCAAATGCAGCCTAACTAGTTCATCTACTGCATGAGTCTGACCGACACCATAACCTGTCTTTGGTTTTCAAATAATTATTCATTGTTTAAAATGGCCTGGGAGGAGCGTCTAGCAGAACTTTCTCAAAGTCCATATCCAAAAGTTGCAAGAAAAAGGTAAATTTGCTTAAAGACCATGCTGACTGTGTAGTATTAGGAAGAAAGAGAGAACTCAAACAAGAGCTCAGTAATTCAGGTGTTAGAAGGAAAGAAGAAACTGTTTCCTATGAAGCATCTGTTTGGCTTTAAACAATCTTAACATGAAATATTTACCTTAAATATATTAGAATTCATCTTTCGCTAACAATTCAACTCAGAAAAATAATTTCACTCCATCATCCCAATCCCTTTCATCTGAAATATCTTCATTTTCAGATGGTATTTCAGAGGTCCTTAAAAATCCTTCTCTAATTTAGATTTTTTTTAAAAAATTTTGTAATCCAAACTAAATTGTCAGTTATCTTAAACGATACATGGTGAAACATCATACAAAATACCAACAGTGGCCATTTTAAACATGGTACAAAGAGAGAAAGCTATCGAACACAAACTAAGAAAGAACCTCAATAAAACGCAAGTGTATAACCTAACAACGCCTGCTCCTTAGGTAGTGCCACTCAGCATCTTGGTGAGAAGTGATCAACGTGAAGGGACCAAACACTCACCTGTCTTTGTAGTTTATCACAGTATCGATGATCGCATTCATCTGCTTTGTCAGTTTGGGGGGATTGGGTGACAATTTCTCAGCAGGAGGGCGGCCTCTTCTCTTCTTAGCCTTTTCCACATCCTCCTTCGCAGGATCTTTATCCACATTTCTTCGTCTTTTTCGCTTCTTAAGCCGTACTTCCTCTTCCATTTCCTCCAAATTGCCGTCTTCAATGGCCTGTTCATTGGAAAGAAAGGAAAAAAATTCAAGACGAGAAAATAACCAAGACAAAAAAAGTATGTGCATATTTGTATATAGCTTCAACAGTTAGAATAAAATGAAAGAAATTAACAAAAAAAAAGTAAAAGTTAACAGTAATCAGTGCAGGAAGAAGAAAAAAGGAATGCTACCATATTGGATAAATGCATCTTTAACGCGGGTCTGTTTCATGAGCAAAACACACTGAAGGCCCAAAACACTCACAGTAAAGAAGAATATGACAAATATTAAAAGGTCTATAAACTCAAGTGTTTGATGGTAACTGAATCCAGATGAAATTTTAGCTCAGTTTAAGAACAAGACCCTAATTTTCTCATTACTGTAAGGGAAGGAAAAGGTAAACAAAACAAGGGGTGGGTTATGAAAAAAAAAAAGTCCTAACAATGCATCCACAGATCATATAAGCTTTGACCTTTTCTTGAGGTTTTGCATCAATTTATTCATGATTAACAACATAAATCAAAATTCCATCTAGATTTTTGTTCTAATGTAGCAATTAGTAAACAAGGAAACGGGAAAGTACAAAGCCACATTCTTTCGTAAACGTACTTAAATCATCCGATAAGGAACACACACACTCACAAACAATAAACACTTTTTTCCAATTACCTGCAAATGCTTGCTTTAAACCAGAGCCAGCAGCACTAATGCAGAGAGATAATAAAATAGCTATAAAAACAACCAGGTATAAAAGAAACCTGTTCATAAAGGGCTAGAAGATCCATGTGACAGACCCAGAAGTTTAAACTTTTTTTTTTTTCCTGGTAAATCTCAAAACTCAAAAGAAGAAAAATAAAAGGGAAAAATACTGCAAAGGAAAAAAACAAAGAACAACATAAAATCTGAACATAGAAAAGAAATTTTCTAAAAAAAATCTTTACATTTTGAGATTGCTCTCTCACACAAAATAACTAATGTTGTTATTTGTTCCTCCTGCCTCTCAATATTGCCTCCAGTATGCAAATGATAATCAATCCTTTCTCGTAGCTGAAAGAGCTCTAATCATAAGGCAATTACCTTCATTTCTCCACAGCACCAAACATGGCTAATATTTATGATCATGTGAGTATAACAATCAATATAAAGAGTGATTACAGCTCAGACATAATTTCTTTCACTTATGTACAATGCCTCCTGAAAAAGAAAGGTTTTGTCAAGAAAACCTGGTGCAGAACACAAAACAACCTGGCATCTTAAAAATGCCAGTGAGATTTTAAAAAAATATGTTTTCTATGCATCCTCCAATGTGCAAATCCATAGAAGCAACATGCACACAGACAGATTCCTAAGGGACAGTCTGAGCCTAGGCCTTAATAATCAAAAGACAATTTCCATCACGATCCTACAGTGTTCAGATAACCACTATGAAGGAGGCGAGATCTGATGAGTTATGAGGAAAAATGAAAAGGAAAAAAAAAAGCTCCACATTATTGCATTAATATTCATTTGCCTAAAAGCAGGACACCCACTATACAGCTAAACACACTGCAGCTAAGCGAAGATTAAGAAAAGGAAATTGTCCCGCATATCTTGGAGGCTGAACATGCTAATAATAAATACAGCATGCAAGGCTGTCAACAGTTAATGGTACTGCTCTCCTCAAGCACCCAGTTGCACACAGAAATACGGAGAACACCGGCTTTTGATGTGTTACACACCTACACATGCCTGGGATGTAGTTCTACTGAATCTTCAAGACGGCAACGAAAAAGGATATTTACCTTACCACTATCAGCAGGCCGGCTATCGGAAATCACAGTTAGTGGGGATAAAATTAACAAGCCAGCAAAGCAGCGAGCTGCTAGTCTCTTCATCAGCTGATCAGGAAAAAAAAGAGAGCTGGGGAAAGGCTATGTTTTCATATACAAGTAATTTTATTTTACTGAAAATTTAATACTGAAAGGATTGTGGATACTCAAATCTGCTGTTTCATTCTACCTACTACAAGGCCCGAAGGCTTCCTCCTTCAGCCTGTTTTAATATTGACAACTACTTATCATATTTTTTTTCCCCTTATTATTCCAGGCAGCAGAATTAGAGGTTTTAGCTCAGGTGGTTTCTGATTCTTGCTTGCATTTTAACAATTAAGCCAGTAAAAAAACAAATTAATATTCAAATTTATTTAAAAAAATTAAAACAGGTCTGCTTTTTTGGTATTTTAAACGTTATTTTTTTAAAAAATAGCTGCATGGTTTGGAGCAGTCTAAATGATTTTTAAAATAGAAGACAATTTTTTAAAAAATTAAATGCATGTAAATAAAAGCAATGTACATGTTCTAAGCTGCAAATATTTTAATACAATATGTTATTCTTCTCTTTAAAGAAAATCCAGAACAACTGTGACACTTCACTTTCAGTTTCATGCTGTAAAATTTTTCATTGTTTTTCTTTCCAGTGGGATAAATGAAGTTGGGGGGAGTTGTGAAAGGATACTTCTACTCTCGCCCCCCTTAATTTTGAAAAGAAGGAAAAAGCATAAGCTTGTGATATTTGGACTTTTAAATCTCTAAATCTGTGAGCAGCTAAGAAGCGAAAAGAAATTAAATTGCAAACAGAACAACTGAAACAATTTTTATTACAATTGCTAATACGTGCAGATTCTTATTAAATTTAGGTTCTGGAATTACAAGGAAACACACAAAGTACTGACCATTATTCCCCTTAAACTAAGGTTTTATGCAGGAATGCAGAGAGCTACAAAACATCTTCCCTCCTCCCCAAAGACCCCAAACACATCCATATGCAGTGCTTTATGTTCTGTGATTTCTAAGGGTCTTTTTCTAATGGAAATCAATTCACTAAATACTTCCCAATGCTTTTCGCACATAAAGAGTGGAGTAAGATTACTCCTACATGTAAGTAAAATTATTCATGGAGATTTTAAACTGTTCTTTTATTTCTAAAAATTATTTATTAAACTGGCTCAACTGACTCAAACTCAGCGCTGGGGGTTGGGGGGGCACACAAAAAAAAACCCCAAAACTTGCTACACAATACTAAAGTACTACCCCCAAAAAGAATTCCCTTCCAAACCTTTTACCAGCACAATAATGAAATAAATCACAGAAGCAAACCCCCAGTTTCCGACTGGTGACGTGTTGCGCAAGAGTGCGAGCCCTAATTCAACATACAGACGGCTCCCATGCTGAACTGCCTCTAGATTTAATGAAGTGAATAGGAAGGAAGTCGGGGAAAAAAAGTGTACAAATAAGAAATTAACACTTTCCTTTCCTACCGAAACGGTGAAACACAACTACAGCGAAGTTTAGTGAGGCACCTCTTTTCTTAAAGGCACACTGCACCCATTTGGCTCCGGATGTCACGAAAAAAAAAAAAAAAAAAAAAAAA